AAAGGGAAGAGTCTAGTTGCTGAACCAAAAATGATTTATAGGGGAAAGAGCTTCAGGAGGGAGAAAGAAGAAAAAAAATTAGAGGCACAACAGCACCGAAAGCTCTCTGGTTTGGCTTTGTCTGTTTTATGTTTCAAACTAGCTCTTCTAATCTCTCAGGCAGATTTTTGAGAGAGAGAGAGAGAGAGAGAGAGAGAGAGAGAGAGAGAGAGAGAGAGAGAGGCTGCTTGATTTGGGACAATCAGTCTTCTGTTTCTCCAACAAGACTATTGCCTGTTGACCTGCAATAATGTGGATGACCTCTAAATGGTGGAATTGTTGGACTTGATAGCTCTGTCAGCAGAAGGACACAGTCGATAATAAGAATTAAGCATAAATGGATCCATTCTGTATCTAAAGCAGTATTTCTCAACCTTGGGAATGTTAAGATAGGTGGACTTCAACTCCCAGTAATTCTGGGAGTTGAAGTCCACATAGTTTAACGTTCCCAAGGTTGAGAAACACTGATCTAAAGAGAGAATAGTTATGGCTGGGACCACCAGCTTACCCCAGCTGAGGTTCAGGAAAGTGCTGGATGGCTGATTTTCCTGAGGTAAGTGAACCTTGGTGGAAAGTGTAAGGAGGACAGAGAATCCACCAATGGCAGTCTGGAAACTACCCTACATTAAATCGTGTGAGAGCAGCAATACTGCCTGGCAGAGGCATCGGAGGGAGGGGATATATATAAAAAAATCAAAATGGTGCCCATGATCATGCTTGCTCAGCATAACTGTATGTAAAAAAGGAGCAGGGTTTTGATCACGCAGCCATGGCCGTTAATTGTCTTTTTTTAACCCTCCCGATGAAATACCCCTGCTCTCTGACCTCATTGTAGAGGCATAGTAAAGGTGGGCTGTGGGGTCAGCACAATTTCTATCACTAACCTGTCCTCCCAACCCCAAGAAGAGAGGAAAGCACATTAACATGGCTGTGAGGAAGAGCCCTGAAGAATACAATTTACCTGGCCCCAGCCTTTTCCATTGGATGAAATGTATTGCTTCTCTTTGAATTACACTTTTATGGAAAACTATAATTTAACATTTCCTGAGGGATGTTTTCCTATCTGCCACCCTGGAATTCTCAGCCAGTCCTTTATCCAAGTCTGATCTGACTTAGCTTCTGAGATGCTTGAAGGACAAGCGCAGCTTTTAGGCAAACGCATGTCCTTCTTTGTGCTGGGCGTAGTTTCTACAGGCAAAGCCTACATTCTATCACTCAGCTACATCCCCACTGGATGCAGCTCCAATCATCCTTGACCATATTGGCTGGGGATAATAATAGTTGGAGTCCAGCAGCACCTAGAAGGCCCCAAGTTCCCTAACCTTGCCCTAATAGAATTAAACCTTGTCTAATGACCTACCAAGAACAGGGATCTGAAATCTTAAGAGTTTCCCTCTTCAAATACTGAGTTCTGAAAAGCTTTCAGCTCTTTCTCTCTTCCCCCACCCCCTAAAAAAAGATCTTTTGGGAAATACTCCTAAATGTTGGATGCACAGAGTGGCAGAGCAAACAGCTGCTTCCTTGAGCAAGTGATCTATAGGATCCGCAAGGATCTAGCCTCTCTAATTTGCCCTGCTGTGTTTGAGGGGCAAATGGGGAGGTTGACGTTCCAGGGGAGCATCAGCACCAGACTAACTTTTGACCTAACTTCTAGCACGGTGATTGATGGTGGCACCGCGCCCAATAAACTATTTCTGGCTTGCTTTTGACATTTTTAACCATTAGCTAACGGTAGGTATTTATTGCAGTATTTACTTCCCCTGTATTTTTTTCATATCCTTGGATATGCAGAGGGAAAATAAAATTAGAATGTTAAATAGACCTACTACAAGATAGTTTCTTGCCTGATTAAGAAGGAAGTCAGCACCGTCACTAGACAGCTGTTCTATCCATTATCCGAATGAAGTGGAAAATGCATAATGTTTAGAATTCTGGATTACACTACTTAAGAATACAGATTGGTGGTGGAGGTTACCTTTTTTTTAACGCAACCATGTGTATATAGTATATTAAATAGCAATGGAGGCGAATATGTGTAGCTCAGGGTTGAACTGTGGAGGCCTTGGGGTTCTCTGAGCTTGGTTCTTTTCTTGCAAACGTTTCATTACCCAGCTAGGTAACGTCTTCAGTGCTAAAATGGGATGAGGTTTGCTCTATAAACCAAGATATTGGCCCCAATGATATAGTCCAAGCCCCACTCCTTTTGGACACGTGTCATAAGCATACCAGATGTAAACACACGGCAGAGCTTAGATCATATGATCGTAGCTGCCATCTTGACTTTTTTGACCACCCTGGATGCTCCTGGATCCTCTTCAATTAGCATAGGGAATGCTAAAGTAAATGGACTAATGATTCACTTGATATTAGATTCAGATGTCTCTTTGGTCCTGAAGCTAACTGCTTTGGGAGACAACCAGTATGCAAAACAGAATACAATAAACCATCCATAAAATGGCATCTGTAATCACTTATAGGTTTTCTTTCTTTAATGGGGGAAAGGGATGATAGCTTAGTGGTGGAACAGAAATGCTTCCTGGAGACCCTGAGCTACCGAGGCATGTATCTGGTGCTAGTTCCTGAAGGAACCATATGCAGAATATCATAGCAAATTTTGTCTTGTAGCGTAAAGACAAAATGCTTTTGGTATCAAGCTGACCTCTAGTGAGCACCTGGGTAGGTCCATATAGCTTTTTTTTCTTCTGGGATGTTTTCTCACCTTTCCAGTCTAGCCTCCAACTTTAGGAATTTTAGGATGTCTCCCATCCAAGGATCACTAACATCTGACCTTGTTTAGCTTTCTGAGATTAGCCAGGGTTGGCTAGATGCTGTCCCCTAACTTGGTTCTTGTCATGTATGGTTGTTATTATTTCCATTTGGAAGGACTGAAGGGAAGTGCAACAATTTTGCTTCCAACCATCTTCTCAGAACTCAACAGATGTCTGTCTGGTTTATAGTGACGTATCTCAGCCTCAAGAGTGGGCAACACATGGCTTGTGTGTGACCCCCAGATTCTTTTCTGCAGCCCTTAAATCCTCCCACCCCCACTGCAGATAAATTGTCAGGAAACAGTGGCAGCATCTAAGCTTTAATTTAAATTTAGTACACTGGAAGAAACCAACTCTCTCCAAACCCCATCTAATTGGAAACCCTGCATCAATCTACTTTAGTGACCTCAGGGCATCAAAGTCTTTGTCCTTAGCTTTGGATTGGCCCCCACCCAAAAACAATCAGGAGAAAAAAGAGAGTGCTCTCTCTACTGAAACCTTGCCCACTCCTGCTTTGTACTAGACAGGAGTACCTGAGCCACTAACCAATGGTCAAAGCCAGCCCTTCAGTCCTTCCAAATGGAAATAATAACAACCATACATGACAAGAACCAAGTTAGGGGACAGCATCTAGCCAACCCTGGCTAATATAGCAGTTAAAGAGCTGGACAAGAATTGGGAGAACCCATCATCCTCTTTCACATGCATCACAGTGAAATGGGAGCAGAACGCCATCTCTCTGCCTCACCTGAACCTCCCTTGCAAGGCTAAGAGGATAAAGGCAGGAGATGAGATACCTATAGGTACGGTGACTATATTTTCTTGGAAAAAATAAAGGACAAACCTGAAAAAGAGGAAAAGCTGAAAGAGGTTCAAAAGGATACAAAATCTTAATTGTTTCTGTTTATAACTTTGCTTCACAAAGGAAAGTTCAGGAGCAAAGCCCAGACAAACTTTACCAAGAAGTATCTTCTAATAAAATATCTAAAATCAAACAGTATATGTACATTTATTTTAAAAAGACAATTCAATGTCCATATTTTACACATGAATGTGAAAGAGTGTGCATTAAGTGGTCCCCTTTGTACGGTCAAAGTTAAATGACCAAAATACAGGACAAGAGTGAGTTTTTGAAAACTAAACAAATCTAAAGGACAGCTTTCTAAAATAAAGAACTGTCCTTTATAATAAAGGAATGATCGCACTCTGATCTCTTGGAGGAAAGAGGCACCTGAGATAAAATGAAATGGATAACCAGGGGCAGGATATTTAAAGCAGGAACAAGAGTAAAGGCTTGTGATGCGGTTCTTGCCCCGTGGTCCTGACCTTGCCAAGCTGAGTGGCAACTGGTCAGGTTTCGAAGGAAGGCTTAAAGGGAAGGGGAGTAGAAACCTCAGCACAGCTGGTAGTCTTGGTCAGCTCCATCTTAGAAAGAGTTGACTCCTGTTCCAAAGGTGAGTAGAAGTCCCACACTTAAATCTAGCCCAGTGATGGCGAACCTATGACACACGTGTCAAAGGTGACATGCCATGATGTTTTGGGTGACATGGCAGCGTTCACCAACATCCAGCAACAACTAGTCTCCCTGTTTGAGTTACCAAAGAAACTGAGTTTGTTTTACTCGTATTCCATTTTTGTAATTTGGCATTTCTTTATATAACACATAGCACCGCACCTATTGGACTGCATTTTTTTTTAAATAAATGAAAATGTAAAGAATTGTTTCTCTTTTGTTCAGGGGGATGGGGGGTGACATGCCAGCAGAGTTAAGTTAGGCATTTTCCAAGTTTTTGACATGGTGAGCCCCAAAGGTTTGCCATCACTGATCTAGCCACTCCACAGGGAAACCAAAGAATCGGATGAGAGGGGGGCATATACGGAGAGAGTGAAGAGGTGGTCGCTATGTGCAGCTCCATACCTTTTAATGGGTTTTCATACCCTATATAGGACTCATGGCCCATCAATTGCATTTTCAGGTCCTTCCATGCCATCAAAAAATAAAAAGACTCATTGCTGCCTTAGGTAACATGGGGTGGATGACCTTGATCAACCAAATGTTAGCTGGTTAATCAAGAGCATTAAACAGATGGGATCCATGGATTAGGCACCAAGTCCCAGGAGAAAGAAAAGAGAGCCCTGGGGAGAACTGAATGGCTCCCTTGCCTGATCCTAAAGCAGCCAACACTTACTTACCCAATGATGTAGGCTAGTACTACCAGCTGGATCAGCCGGAAGGTTAAGCCCACCTTCTTATTGTGCACCAAAACCATCCTGGGTGTGTCATATTCAAAGAGAAACGTGGAGATTTTTTCTGCGAATTTATGGCCCATAGGGAATGGATCTTCGATCACTGCAGGCAGAAGTCTTCTGCTGGTTGATTCTCCCAACGTTTGTCTTTCTCACGTTCTGCTAATCTTTTCTTTGGCTCCAGAGCAGAGTCTGTTGCCTTTCCCTGTCAGCACCAGTAAAGAGTCCTTTCTCTTTCTGGGTGTAATAGTTTACTTTACATCTCCTTAGATGGTTTGGGGGTGGGACTGGGTGTGTTTAGAGAGCGGAGCCAGCCACAAACAGCTGAACAGGAAAGATCCCTTTTTGCATCCTGCTCTGGACAGTTATAGAATGGGGTGAAGACTCCAGGGGTTAGAATGGTTTTTATGAGTGACAACCTCCCCGTGTTTCACCATCCAAAATAGGAAAAGACTTTCGCTTTCCCAGGTCGGACCTCAGGGTGTAACAGTTTATTTTGCAGGAATAAAAGCTCAGAAGGTGTTTGGGTTTTGGGGGTAAAATGCAATTCAAATCTCTAAGCAGCTGGGAAAACATGACCTAAAATCAAGCTTCCAGATCCACAAAGCTCTAGATTACCATTGGATGGCCAGCATAGCCTACCTTACAAGGTGGTTGAGAGGATTAAATGCAAAGGAGAGGGACGTAATGAATGCTACCTCGAGGTCTTTGCAGGAAGGTCGAAGTAAAAATGGAATAAAAAACTATCTTATCACAGCAAATCTAGGTGGAACAGGGTCTGGACTCTGTCTTCACAGGACAACTGTAGTTTAATGGTAAAATACTAGCTGTCCATGTAGAATTTAATTCTCTCCATCAGATTTAATTCCCAGCATCTTCAGACAGGATTTAATGCCAACCAACACAAATAAAATGGACCAGAGTAAGTATGTGATAATTTCTTGTGTTTCTTATTTAAATTAACAGTTTATTCAATACCATGAGGACTAGATTCTTGCTTTTAAACTGGGTAATGGAGGACATTTCTCTGAAAGTTTCTAGCTTTAGCCTTTGGTGCTGCCAGATTAAAAAAAGAAGAACAGCTTGCAGGTGATAGGAAGAGTCTCTGTTGACACAGGGCAGATCCCTTATATACACATATATACTGGTATATATCTACACACACACACACACACACACATTTTTATTAAAGGTTTTAAAAACAAGTAAAAACTACAACAAACTAAATTAGAACGGAAAAATTGAAAAAGAAAAGAAGAAATAACAGAAAAAAGCTAAAAGTGCAATAGAAAAAGAAAATAGAAAGAAAGAAAGAAAGAAAGAAAGAAAGAAAGAAAGAAAGAAAGAAAGAAAGAAAGAAAGAAAGAAAGAAAGAGGTCCTTGTTATTAACATGGTCTTGCAATGCATGTTTGTGGGAAAAGAGTGAACTGAATATTCATAGATGCCAATGTTCTGTTTTTGCCTTAATACAAAAAGGTCATGTTGTAGAATCTTCTTCTAAGACTTGCCGTCTACACACACACACAGACACACACACAGACACAGAGGCAGACAAATATACCCAATGCCCTAGAGTAACAGCAGGTCTGACATTGGTGGAGAATCGAATTTTCATTCACAGTAGTATCAAAAAGTTGTTACAGAGACACAAAACAGGAACAGCTTGAAAAAGAAGCAGGGTGTGCCACTGTTAACTGCGGGCAAGACACTGAGCTGTTTTCATTTGCCTATAATTTATTTCAGCCAAGGGCCACGTTTTCTGGCAGTGGGGAGGGGGAGAGAGACAGACCAGGAGAAGGTGGGAGTCAAGATCCCAAACTGATGGAAGAGCCCATTCCCTTTTCGTCACCCTTTCCTCCTCTCTCCGAGTCTGGTCGGGTTGTGTAATATTCCTGTCTTGGGCAAGATGCTTAAATGAAAGGTTGAAGGCTGGCAAGTCTCCTCGTTCTTAAATGAACTTCAGGATTGGGCCCCCTTAGGCTGTGATTTCAGGCCTGGTGTCATTTATTTTTTTATTTAAATCTTTACACACCTATGCTCGTCCAACGTGTTTCTGCAGCTGCAAGGCATAGCATTTGCATACCTGCGATACCGTTTAAAATAGAACAAAGTACTCCATTTTAAAAAGTATGCAAAGTAGGTTAAAATATATTAAATGTAAGACATAAATTGTTGGCTATGTGTACCAGTACAGCATTATCCTAATATGTCAGTTACCAAAATGTTTTTCTTTTGTTAAATATAGATGGCTGATCTCATGCAAAAAATGCTCTTCTTATGGGCAGGCCAGATGCTTGTAATGGTGGCATTCTTGTTCTCAATGTTTGCAAAGCATCTGGCTTTTATTTAGTGCAACAATGCCTTTTTTTGGCACAACATTACCCCTCTCCCCAGTATCCATAAATGCAGAGATGAAATCAGTAAAATTCACCTAAAACTCCTATAGCCAATGAATTCTGAGTTATTCAGATGAAAGCATGATTTTGTAAAAAAATGTGTGTGGCAAGAAAGTGCTTCTAAATACAGAAGTTATTATCTACAGTTAATGGATAATATATAATACAGAAGTTATTATATAGAAGTTTGCATATCTACAGCAGTCTCTGGGGGCGGGAGAACCTCTTTTTAAAAACTTTGTGGTGACCGGAAGAGGTAACTACTTCTGTTGAGAAACAAGCATTCTGTACTTTAGTCTTTTTCTATTACGTAAGAGAGGAATTACCCCAAGCAGCCTTTTAAATTTATTTTTTAAAAGACTATCTCTTATATTGGGCACTGCAATACTTGGCATCTTCTAGGTGATGTTTTCATCTAGTGGACTTTACAACCCTTTTCCACAATATTAAGAAGTAGATGAGCGAGTGAACTAAAGCAAGAGGTTGATTGCAAATGAAAGTGAAATGGAGGGTGGCAGAGAGAAGGAGAATGGAAGATGCAAATCACATTATTTATAGTGCGATGTCTCACATGTCTGTTCAAAAAGAAGTCCCATCAATTTCAACAAATTTAATTTCAATCCAGTGGGTGCAGAATTGCAACGTTAATTAGTCAATCCATTTTATTATCAGCTCTTTTGCTGAGACAACAATATTTTCTAATCTGTGGTAGTTCCATGGGCAGATCCCCACCGAGATGTTTGCAGGTGTTCTTTTGTCACCTTTTATAAATCTATAGTTGAGCATCACCTTGTTCTCTTTTGGGCTCAGGGCATCTCAAGATGATGGGGGCAAAGGGATGATCGAAGCCCCGCCTTCTTTTCCTGCGCACAATGCACATTAAAAAGGGGCGGGGTTTGAGCATGCAGTTACACCCACCATCTTGACTTTTTTGAGACCCCTCCCCTCTCATGAATGTCCCCGAGTCCAAAAGAGAATAAGGTGATTCCCTGTTTGGGCTTAATAATGCCTTTCCTATGACCCAATTAAAAAGCTGGCAGTCACATTCTAAAATAGGTATAGTTTTGGAACTGCTGTCAAGAGCAATCCCAGGTGTAGTGCGCTGTGGTAGTCTAAGTGAAGACGAGCAAAGCATGGATAATTGTGATTAGGCTACCTTTAGCTAAATTTCAACAAGAAATTTCTTGTTGAACAACTTCTCCATAGCAGATGCTGCTGGAGTAGGTATGAATGTTTGAGGTAGCCCAGTCTGAGGCTATATAGTTCATCAGTGAAGAGACTGTCATATGTTTCCTGTATGAATGGGCTGGATAAGGTCATAGATTCTGTTACATAAGAGACTGCATTTTTACCAGAAGTCTTGCAGTTAAATTTAGATGTCCCGTTTTCCTGATTGTCATCACTTTGGCATGGTGGTCTACTCAATCTTCCTTAGAAGGGTGCATTTTGTACTAATGGTTACAATTCATGTCTTCACTTGGCTAGAGCTTTCTTTAGAAGGCCTGCCTTGATCCCTAGATTGTAAATGATGGTTATCAGGTTCTGTAGAGTCTTTCTTTGGCTGGCTGATCTGATGGTTATCAGGTATTCTTTCAAATGTAGGGGCCTGGCCAGTGTCATGAGGAGGGATTGATTATCTCTGCTTCTGCATCACTTTTTCTTCAGGCCCCAAACAATCAAATCCAACCATTTCAAATGCATTTCCAAATAAATTGTTTTCAATGTCTGCTCTTCCCCATACCACCCCACATCTCCTGAATGTATCCCATGGCATAGGAGGCCTGGGGAGGTGGGTAGAATCCAGGATCTAAATGGATTTGTTCAGCTCCTTTACAGATTTAGATGGGTAAGCTTAAATGTAGAACTGTTGCTATGCAAACAGCCAAATAAGCAACAAAGCTCTGGTACCTCAATTATCCTTAATAAATGTGCTATTCTTGGGTTTATTAAAGTATTATTAAAGGCATTCTCTTTACTAACTGTTCCAACTTCTTCCTTCGGGATGGCGCTATAGAGCACCATACGTTAAAACATCTAGATATCAGAATAGTTT